AAGTTAGACATATTAACACTTCTTAAAAATTTTGGCAAGATAGTGCCCAAGTTCCAAACAGCACAAGCTATATCAATGTAAAAAGGCATGAAAGATATCAAACCAAAACATCAGGGCAAGTAGCACACTGAAAAGGTATAATAAATGCCCAAACATTTTGAAGTTGGGATCTAGACTACCAAGGTCAAGGCTGAAAAATTCTCAGCGATGTTCACTGTTTTAGATTAGTGCACATCTTCTCCCTGTTTTCCCTAAAATAAATTTGGCTGTTATAGGTGAACCTATTTAATCACATCCAAAAAGTTTGAAATTTCACTCAGAATTGCTACACATACAGAAATACTCCATTTCTATTAATATGGAAGGATTCTCAGCTTAGCCCACACGTACATTGCACTGAAACTCAATGACAATATGGAGCAAACATACATAAATTTGCACAGTTCAAGTTAAAAAAAAAAAAAAAAAAACACCTTTCAACTTTTGTTTACACTTATATCCTCACAACTTTCAATGAAACAAGGTGTTATCCCGTCATTTTTATGGTAGCATTTGCTACTCTAAGGAACAATTTCAGATGCCAAATTCGAAGGGTTAGAAATAGAGGATTTTACTTTCCCCATACATTGCTAACCAAGATTAACTAATATCAAAGTATCAACTTTTCCACCAGGTGAAGCCCTCCAAGAAATATTAAATCTAATTAAGCTCCCAAGATCACAAAAATCCTCAGCCTTTCCCCTTCCTCCCTTAAGCTGGCTGAGACAGTGAAGTCAGTGTCATTTTAGGCTCAAGTCATTCAAAGTAACAAATTGAAGAATGACCAAAAACAAATTTTTATTTTTACAACTAAATAAATGTAATTCAAATGTGTCCATCACTAGTTTTTTCCCCCAAATTAACATGTTATAAATAAGCAAACTAAACCTGGGCACTGATGTATATGGACTCCCTAGATGTCTCACTGGGCTTAGTTACAGAAGACCACTCACAGTAAAAAGACATTTTGAGTACAAAGTGTAGCATGATGTTAAGCCATTTTAGCTTCTGCACATACATGTTGCACTTCTGGCTGAAAATGCAGAGAAATTCGAAGCATTACACTGTAAGCTCGGTTGCACTGTTTTAAATGGCATCGATATCAATGTCATCATCCTTGTTATCAGCAGACTTCACAGTTTCAACTTTAGGTACGCTGGCTGTCTTAGAATACACCACCTAGGAAACAAGGGCAGTTTTATTTAGGAGGAAATAACACAAACAACCCTGTCACCTCGCATTAAACATTATGCTGTAGAAATCAGAGGCTACTTTTTTCATAAAATTGAATCATACAAGAACAAAGAAATAATTTTGTCTGACTTACAGAGAACTCTAAAGGCATTTGTTGGTATAAAATTATCCTAAGCAATCATACATTAATTATATCACATCATATTCCACTAACTACCTTAGAATCTTAAGAGTGACATTAGAGATGGAGCACGAAGAAAAGCTTTGGCTCCTGAGTGCCTCTTATTAATAGGATGCTTTCAACAAAGAAGTATTTCTATAAAATTCTTTACAAACACACCCCACACACCCCTGAATTTGTATCCTACAAACAAGATACCTCAATATTTTCATCTTCATCTTCCTCTTCTCCACCAGAAGATTCTTCTTCTGCTTCCTTTAGCCATTTTATAAATGGCTCCGCTTTGACACGAATCTCTTTGGCAAGTTCCTTTGAGACGTATTTCTTGGAGGCCTGAACAAATTCATTATTAGTTCAGCCTGGTTTGAGAAATCTTAACACTAAAAACTGCAGGAAGTTTTAAGCACAAACAACAAATAACCCAAATACAAAAGAAACATCCTCTTACCTTTTCTGACCAGCTAATGATGACCTCTTCTTCCAAAAGGTCTGCATCATACATTTCCTTCAAGATATGTGGAATTTTGGAGATGAGTTGAGCTTGATGCATAGCTACCACACACTCCAAACCATGAAGAAGGTATCTCTGAGCTTTTTTGTTATTGTGGCAGAACTGGAAAAACAGAACCTAACATTAGAAAGCATCCAAATAATCTAAACAGCAAACTCTTATTCTCGAAATCAGCTATAAGTAACAAACATGTACCATCTATAGATTGATTGTACATAGATACTAGTTACTACCCTCCAAAGAGAAAGCCTATGTTGCTAGCCTTTTAACATATCATACAGGTAAAAAAACCCAAAACCCTTTCACTTTAATTGAGATGTCCATCCCCAAGAGTAGCCATAAAAACCAGCTGCTTACTCGTAGAAAATGACGTCTATACTTCTTAATTTGTTCTCGAATCTTCTCGTTAAAAAGAACCTCAGTCAAAACAAGAGGGCCCATAGCTTTTACATCCAGTCTTTCTGCTTCTGCGACAATTTCTTTGTCAGAAGTATCGATGATACCTTCCTCTTTCTTTTTCTGCAGGAAGGAGACAAGGGATCGAAGATACATTTTGCTGCCCATTCACAAGTACCCAAGGAAGAAAGAGCAAGTAAAAGACATTTTGTATTACAACAGGTCAAATGGAAAATTTGTGTTTCATACATTCTACACTTCATTCTTCTAGTGGTTTAAGAATGAAAGATTTACCACTTATCTTGAATTGCTTGCCCTGAATAAAATGCTGAATTCAAGAAAGCTCCTAAAGGGTATTAAAATATGCATACTTTACCTTCACAAAATCAAATAAAATATTGACTCTTTCTTCAACTGTCCTTTCTAAGTCGTCACTAAGTGTCAGAACTTTTGCATGATCACTAATTTCATCCATTCTGCGCCTTTGAGCTTCTTCAGTTGTGTCCTCTCCCCAATCTTCATCCTCATCATCTTCCTGTATATAGAAGCAAAAACCTAGTTAACTCACAGTTACATCTGGAAAACAGCTTGAATTAGTGAGTCTTTCCCTGTGAAAAACAAATTTTTGAATCCTTAAATAATAGCAAAAGCTACCTCTTTGCCTGGTGTTTCTTCCAAATAAATTTATTTTAACCCTAGTTTGAGCCAATAGATTCGTATACTATTACATTCTATATGCTCTTTTATTAACTATGTTTAGGATCACTGCCCACATCAAACTCAGATCCCCTCATACCTGTAAGGTGTATAGTTCAAATAAAAAAAAAAACTACCAAGACTGTACTTCCCACACTCACCACAGCATGTGGAGGGTTAAGTTCATTGGGTGGTGGTGGTGGTGGTGTTGTCTCATTGCTGGACACAGAACCATTTTCTTTGTCTTTGCCCTTTCTATTTTTCTTTTCTTTTTCTTTTTTTCCCGTAACACTGTCACTATTCTCTGAGGAAGAAAGGTGAAGAAGACAAAGTTGAATCCCACAATTTCCATTACTATTCACCCTCTCAAGCCTACCTAGTTGCCAGAAATAGGACCTTCTAAGTCAGTCTTCTTTCTTTTGTCCTAAGTGTTTACTAAATTAAGTTTTAATAAAGTATTTTAGAACTGGGTACTCATACTGTTTAAGTCTATATAACAGATAGTCTCATTTAAGAGAGACCACTGGAATAGGTTAGACTTACTTGTTTTTTGCAAGTCGAAATTGTGTCAGACAACTTTTTGTCAGCCACAGAGTGTTGCTTGCAATGAATGATCAAAGAGGGAGCTGTGCAGAGAATTAATCCCTCAAGAAAAATTATCCGCATACACATCCTATGCTTTTTAGAGCAACAAACCCAGTATGAATCGCACTATTATATTGCTTTATACAACTGTTCAAAAGTAGGTGGATATTACTTACCAGGTGGGTTCTTGAGAATGAATGTGCAGAGTTTATGGTTTGTGTCAAGCATGCCTCGATAGCCACAGGCTTTGCAAGAGTTACCTATTGTTTGTTTCTTAGGATTGACATGCTGTCAGAGAGAAAATATTAAATGGATTCAGCATAGCATTCAGTCCAAAGAATATACTTACACGTACAGATGTGTACTTAGCTTCAAAGACTAAATAATGACTTCGTATGTCAACACATACATATCTATGCAAACAGTTCACTTACCAGATCAGTTTCAGGATTCTCACACTCGGGACAGAGAACAAATTTTTTAATGAATCCATCCAACATGTCTTGCAGCTTATTCGCCTCATGAGATCCATTGACAATGTAACGGTCATTCTTAACATCAAACTGGGTCTGTGCTCCCAGCTCACAACCAAAATATTTGGTGGGATCTTAAGGGGGGGGGAAAAAGGTGAATGAACTAAGAGATCTTGCTTCACTGCTGTTTACTGCATTCATTACTGTTATCCACCCATATATATGCAATCATCGCTCTACATTAGATGCTGTTTTTTATTTAAAAATATTGCTTATATATGTATACACTGGAAGAGTACAAACTAAACATGAGGAAAGTGAAAAGCTTTCTAATTCTATGTTCCCAATGTTTTGATTGACTCAATCCATAGCCCAAAACACAAGCTTTCAGATTATAAATGTACCAACAGAATCATCAGCATTGTATTTGTTCATATTTCTTTAAAACATTACTTACACGTTGGAGGCCGATTAAGCGCCTTTGCAACGTCAACCATGTTGACTATAACTGTCTTTATTCCATTTCCTTTGCCCTCAACCTAAAAAGCAAAATTTAACACTGTCATTTTCATCCTAGAAAAGCAGACCATTAATCTTCATATTTAAATGACACAAATATTACTAACAAAGCCATCTGACCCACAAAAGATAATGTACAACACCAAATTACTGAGACTTACCCACACTTTGTCCTCCCAAAACAATTTAAAAAAGAAATCAGTAAACATTACCTTAGCAATCAGACGGGGCATTTTGTAGCGATAGAACTGATCTGAAACGCTGCGGTTGACGTTGACAGACATTTTGGCTTATTAGTAGTAGTTTTATCAATAAGATGAAGAGCTCTTTGATTGCAACTTTTTGGTATCTTCTGTCTGGAGAAGAAGGGATGACATAAACGACTGCAAGAGTTCTCGGTCTCTGACATGAAAAAGTTTTTGCCACAGAGGCTGTAAGCGTCTTGCTTGTATGCTATATTTCCCCAATACAGGTACCAATGGCTGCGCAACAGCTCTGAAACAGAGGGGGAGGTAAGGTGAGAGAATAAACAAAATTTAGTGACATATAGGTTTATAGACATAAAGAACATTTCCCTATTTGCTGATAAGTTATCTTATCATAATGCCCCATCTATTGCCATACACACAGAATCACTAAAGGGGGTGGGTGGGGGTGGGAGAGGAGAGAGAAGGGACTCAAAAAAAAAAAAACCCCAACAAAATGTTGAGGTCAATTCAGGGTACAAACATAGCCTTCTTTTCTTATGGGGGAAAACTCCTGCTTTTAAAACCACAGCCAAGGGACTCAACTATAACTATTCTTGTTTTTTTTTGATGTTTATCCAATCTATTTAGATATTTAAATCCCTCCACTCTCCTTCACATCCATTTTTGACAGGCTATTTGACCTCTGATTACATTTTCCAAACTGGTTACCTCACTTCATCAGAATATAGAAAACAAGTCTATACTAACGTTTTGATACTGAGTGTTTATGCAACAATTCATACGAAATAAAATGTACAAAGTGTAATCTAAGCTCAGTGTAACACCTATGTTAATTTTATGTAAGAATTCTTGTTCCAAATACAAATCAGAAAGATAATGAAGACATTCTAGTCACAAGTCACCCATTTTGCTACACAGGGCACAAAGACCCAAACTAAATGTTTTAACTGGAATTCAGCTAGGAAGCTTATGGTTCGATCTAGTATTTTCTCTTTATATAGAAAGAAATTGCCTGCACATTCACTGTTACCTGTATCCCAATGCAACCATGGACATCAGGCTTATGGAAGACCTTAAGTATAATTTCTCTTTAGGTCAAGGGAAGGAGCACCAATAGGTGATACCCTAGGGTTCGACTAAGAAGAGGACGAGATTCGCCCCCGAGCTGCCCTGGAGTTCGGGACACCTTTTCCCCCGAAGCGGCCGCACCCACAGGGTGACAGAACTGGCAGAAAGAATCAGAAGGAAAGGAATCGAAAGCGAGGAGCAGCAGCAGAAGCCTGGAAGTGCTGCGGCGCCGGGCCCTCCTCTCCTCTCCCCTCCCCCTCGCAGGCTCCTCCCCCAGCCGGCCGGGATGACTCATAAATGCAGCAATTAAGCACTGAGTCAGCTTTTGAGGAGGCGTGGCGCATGCGCAAAGCTTTCAGGATCACCACCCCCTTCCCCAGTCGTTCGCCAAACACCCGCCTGGGTGCGCCCCCTTCCCGGGGGCAGGGGGTCGTACCCGCCGACCCCGGGACTTCCCCTTTTCTCTCCCAACTTGTGGGGGTTCGCGAAATAAACTGCGCCACGCGACTGGGGGGGGAGGTCACGAGGAAGTAGAGCCGCCATTTTGTGCGGCCGCCATCTCCCCGGGGCCAGGGCGCCTCCTCACACGCTTTCCGCCGCCGCCCCCGTCCCGCCAAAGCCCCGACGCCCGCCCTCCACTCACCGTTTTCGTCAAATAAAGACATAAACCCAACGCTGCTCGCCCGGGACTGGGATGAAGTGTCTGAGGCGCGGTATAAACAAGAGTCCGAGCAGCTGCAAGAGGTGGAGGAGGAGGAAGGGAAGAGGAGGAGGAAAGAGGAGGAGGAGGCGGAGCGGGAGGAGCGGCCCGAGCCAGGTGCCGCCGCCGACCAGCGGGGGGGAAGGGGGGGCGGTCCCAGCGACGTCCAGGGGGAGGCAACACCCTTCGGCACCTGGGAGCCTGGCGACCTGAAGGGAAAGAGACAGAGGCGCCATTAACACGGGTCAGTCCCTGCGAGTAAAAGCATCAGCACAACCTACCTACCCCACTCGCCCGCCCCTAGTCATTTCGAGAGCCCAGACCCACAGCGGCTTCAGAGTAAGGAAGTCCCCCGGGGCTGGAGCCAAAGCCATTTCAGACTCACCTTTGGAATGTTCTCGCTCAGACTGAACAACGCCGATGCCGCCGCCGCGATCAATCTACCCCCCCAGGCCCCGCCTTCCCTGGTCCGGCCATCCCAGCCTATTGGCTGGTGGGCCGCTCGAGCCCGCACGCCATTGGCCTTTGCTTTATGTCAATCACGGCCGCCTGCCTTCCCCCAGCGTCTGGCTTCCCCTCTTTCACACCCGCCCTTGCGGAGAGTCCCAACCTATTGGCCGATGGGCCGCTCGAACTCACGCACCACAGGCCAAGACCTCGAGTCAATCACGGTCTCCTGCCCGCCTCTGCTTCTCCTCCCTTCACCCGCCTCCCCAACGCTCCACCCCCGCCCATACCAGCCAATTGGTCGGTGAGCCCTTCGAGTCTGCACACCATTAGCGGCTGTGTCGTGTCAATCAAGGCCTGCCGCCTTTCCCTGTCTTCTCTCTTCTCCTTCTCCACACCCACCCCTCGACCAAACCAGCAACCCCAAGGTTCAGCACGACGAAGACGGCTCGAGATTTCTAGGCGTGCAGTCTCGCGAGACCCAACGGAAGCTGGAGGGGTTGGAGTATTAGGAGGTCTTGAGGATTGGGGGGGGCGCGCGCGTGTCTGTTTCGTTCTCGAAGCGGGAGGAAAATGGCGGTTGGTTTTCCTTCCCGTCTCCACCCTCCCAACCCCCGCCTTTCTGCCGCCCCGGCTCGCTTCTTGGAGGTGGGGTTTGTCGTTACATGATGGTGTGGGTTTCGTTACCCGGCCCCCAGCACCGGGCCAGCGGGGTTCTTCTTCAGCTCGCGCTCTTAAACCCTTAGGGGTAACCCTGGCGCGCGCCTTTCCTGTCACTGCGCAGGCGCCTCCCTGAGGTCAAGGGGTCAGCGCCGGGGACGCGAAGGTGGCTTCCCCTGCGCGTCCATGTGCGAGTCTTGAAGTTGCCTGTGAGAGCGACCTAAGCGTGACTCAGCCTGAGTGAAGTGGGCAGTCTGGCTCACCGCCCCACAGCACGTGGAGGTAATTAGCGACTACAGAGCTCTGATGCGGGAAGAAAAAAAAAGAAAAAAAGCCAAGCCGCTGTATCATCATGGTTGCTTCCTCAGGTGTTTACTGAGGTTTCCTATGAGAGAAGTTGCAAAAAGATTTTTTTTGTTTTGTGTAACCTCAGGCAAGGCGCGAACCCTGCTGAGTTCAACCGGTGCTTGTGTTTCCTCCGTCTAAAAGCAGTAGTTTTTTTTTAAAAAAAACCTGTCATTTTATTTCTGGGTTTTTCCACAGACCTTTCCATTACACTACACTGCCTCTCATCTTTCCAAGGTGAAATTTGAATCTAGTTCCGTGCCAGGAATTTGAGAAGGGAGGCGGTCAGTTTTCCCCACAAAAGCTATCTTTTATTCCTCAAACACATGGAGCTAGCCTCTGGTTAGAGAGGCTATAGGGGGAATTTCGAGAAATATTTCAAGTATTTAGGGTCTTCTGTGTAAGTCGAACTGTGCTAGCAGTTAGGGAAAAGGCTAAGGTCGATCAGATATCTCGTGGAGTTTACTGTCTAATAGAGGAAAGAAACAGGAATAGGTAACGATAGTATGTAACACATGATTGAGTGCATTAGAGGTAGAAAATAAGGCAATAGGGTTAGGGTTAGGGGCCTCGGGGGTGGATTTGAGTTGGGCTTTGAAGTGAGCAGAAAGAAGGCAGGAAAGTAGATCTGTTAATGTTGCCAAACTGATTTTGCCCTTTTCTAGATCAGGGGCTCTTAACCTTTTTATGTGTGTAATGGACCCCTTTTGCAGTCCGGTGAAGCCTATGCACGCTTTTTCAGAACAATTTTTTAAAATGTATTTAAATATATTAAAATAAGTAGGGTTATAAAGGAAACCAATTATTTTGAAAAGTTTTTTTTAAAGTTCATTGGACTTCAAATTAAGAATCCTGATAGCCTTCCTTTTCTGCCTCTGCCCCACCCTGAGTTATTTTCTTCTAGCTAAAATGAAACCTGAATCTAGCTCAGTGAGGAGAATGAGAAATTAGAGATCAACATCTTTTCCCCAGCAAAAATTATCTTCTATTCCTCCCAAAGATCTGACTAACTTTTGTTTATAGGAACACTCTTAATTAAAAAAAATTTTTTTTTAATTTATTTTTAGTTTTCAGCAATCACTTCTATGTTTTTTGAGTTTTAAATTTTTCTACCCCTTCCTCCCCAAGACTGGAGTGCAATATGATATAGGCTGTACATATACATTCCTATTAAACATATTTTCACATTAGTCTTGTAAGAAAGGATTAGAACCAATTGGACATACCACAAGAAAAGAGGAAACAAAACAAAACAAGAAAAAAATAGCAAATAGTATGCTTTGATCTGCATTCAAACTCCATAGTTCTTTCTCTGAACATGAATAGCATTTTTCGTCATGAGACTTTTGGAGATGTCTTAGATCCTTGCATTGCTGAGAAGGGTTAAGTCTATCAATATTAGTCATCCAGCGATGTGGCTGTTATTGTGTACAACATTCTCCTGGTTCTACTCACTTCACTCAGCATCAGTCCATACAAGTCTTTCCAGGTTTTTCTGAAGTCTGCCTGCTCATCATTTCTTATAGCACAATAGTATTCCATTCCATCTTGTTCAGCCATTCCCCAGTTGATGGACATCCCTTCAATTTCCAATTCTTTGCCACCACACAAAGATCTGCTATAAATATTTCTGTAAATTTGGGTCCTTTTCCCATTTTTATGATCTCTGGGATAGAGCCCTAGAAGTGCTATTGCTGGGTCAAAGGCTATGCACATTTTTATAGCCCCTTGGGCATAGTTCCAAATTGCTTTCCAAAATGGTTGGATCATAGGAACACTCTCTGAAGACAGGAATAATATGGTATACCTTTTGAACTAGACATTGTACTGTAGTATATTTCTCTTGTAGTCTGAATAGTAAAGATCATACAGTGTGAAGAGAGGCAGGTCAGTGTCTGGGGTTATTTGAGGTCAGTTGAATTTGAATGAAAAAATCATTATGTAACCCAGGTGACCATTTGATCCATAGGGCAAATGGACTAGATTCAGTCTTGCAGTTTTGGTCATTTTACATTTTTTTGGACTAGATTTATGATTTCTTTGGTATATAAAACACCCTATGAGGAAATTTCCTCAGCTAATGCAGGTATTGGCACACAATCAGCATTTTATAGTCTTAAGATAATTGACTGAGGGCACTGGGAAGTTAATGATTTAGCCAGACTTAGAGAGAGAGAGAGAGAGAGAGAGAGGTAGGATCTGAATGTAGGTCTTCCCAGCTCTATAAGGCAGGTGCTCTGTGCATTATGCCAAGCTGCCTATGGTGGGAGTTTTAATAACTTACTTCACTTCAGCAGGCATTTACTAAACACTTAATATGTGCAAGGTGCTGGGTGTACAAGGCAATAAAGGAGATAGTCTCCACTCTCAAGGAACTTACATTGTGCTTTTTTTTGTTCAAGACCCTGCTCAGGTTCATTCTTTTGCGAACATTGAGGTAACAAAGCATGGAATGCAGAACAAATTTATTTCACACAAAAAAATGTAGAAAGAACTTGTACCCAAGTCCACAGTAAAGAAAACTGTCTCCTATGGTGAGCCTCATCTTCTCCAGTAATCTGTACAGTTATTTTGTACTTTGTACAGAGTACCCCTCTGGTCTAGAGGTTCCCCAAGCTGCAGTTGGGAAAAGAACTGAGTCAAGCCATCTCTCCTTGTGGGGAGTCTCATCTTCTACAGAGACAACAACTATATAGGTTGTTGCAAACTTATAGCGCCAGCAGAGAGGTTCCTTCTCTTTGTGGCTTCCTTTTGTGTCAATCCTTTCCTTTTACATCTTTGGCAATAGTTTGGTAATAGTTCCCCCTCTCTCTGCCCTCTCCCTCAGGAAATCTCTGGAGTTTCTGGTGTCCTAGTTTCTCTGTGCATGTGACTTCCTGGAGGGGTACACTGCACAGGCACCTCTCCAAAGAATAGAGTCCATGTTTATGTATAAAGGCCAAATACAAGGACATAGCTCAGTTATATGAACTATCAGCAAACTTGATTCAGTGCTGAGACAGTAGAACAAAGGACCTGAGACAAGATTCATGTCTTAACAAGGAAAGACAAAGACAAAGAGGGGGAGGAACCTGGGCCATGCAACAAAACTACACCTAGCATACTACCCTGTAGCCCCAACTCTGGGTATTTCTCTAGGGAACATGGTATCAACTCACTCACTTAGCACACCAACAGCATCCTCCCTCCCAATTACCTTTTCCAATTTGTTGCACTCTGAAACTATGGTGTTAGTGTGCAAATCTCTTTCTATGGTGCCTTCTTCAAAGTCGGTGGATAGCCCTAAGATATAATTATTCAGTGAACTTCCAGGCTTAAGCCTGCTTTGTTGCCAGCAAAAGTCTCACTAGGGTGCTACAGATTGATGCCACAGTCTGCTGGTGCCATACTGCTGGGGGTGCTGGGGGTGGGGGGTAGCCAAAGGCTTAGGAAAAAAGCAGTGAAAAAACATTCCACATGAACTCCCAAGATTGAATTTGTTCCATCTGCCCAGAATTTTGGTTCTGACCACTCAGGTGACATTTGAAGATTTATCTGATGTATTTTAAAATCTTTTTTTTTTTGTTAAAGATGTTGATATTTTCAAGATGCACAATATTTTATAATTCTGATGATGAAAACTTTAAAACACTTTCCTAAATTTGGCAATTGAATCAGGAGAAAGTATAAAATCAGGCATTCAGTGAGATTGAGATGAGGAGACAAGTAATGTGAGAAGTTTCTCCTGAATTTTTGTGTTGCCTTGATAACATCTATTTTCACTGGGTTGTCCTATGTAATACCATAACAGGGGCTGGCAAATATGTGGAATAGCTTTCTGAGGTCAAAAAACTCCATAAAACGAGGCAAAGACATTTAAAATTCCACCGGCCCAAAAGAAGTTATACAGAAGAAATCCTTGGCTCACTGTTTTGCCAAGATACATTCTGCTCACAAAACCCCAAACATTCAGGGACACTGGTAGCTTAGTTTCTTTTTCAGTGGTATTATGAATTTAGATGAACAACTGACCGTGGAATTCCTTAGTTAAGTGAAATTGCATTCAGCTAGAACAATTTGGGTTTACTTTAAGGCCTGAAAAACTTTGTCTAAAGTGTATGGAGGAGAGGGGCAGGACTCTTGTGGCAGAAATTGTTGTACTAATTGTTTTGAAAATGCTTTTTCAATCAGGATGTAAACTGCTGTTTCCAGAGTAACTACAGAGACGTAGGGAGTCCTGGCATATTAACTGGGCTTACACCTGAGTTCAGGGCATGTACCCTAGATTAATTAACTTCATATGCCATCTGCACCCATTTTGTTACTTGCCTTGCTGCCCCTCTGCTTCCACACTAGTGATCAAAGACCCTCCTCACCCACCCCCAACCTAGGAGGGAGAATGATGTGAGCCTAAACTAGTACTGAGCTGGCTGAGGGTAGAGAGATGAGTACCTTACACGCACTTTGGAACTGTATAGGAGAAGGAATTCCTCTAGTCTTCAGAGGTCCCAGATTCTTCGTCTGGTCAAAAGGGAGTAAGTAGGGTAATACGCTGAAGGGCTCTTCTTCTGCCTCAACCTCTTCATTCTCTCAGAAGTTTAGATAGACCTGCTCTCTGCTGGCCTGTCATGAATGCTGGAGTTTGAATTGACCCCTACGTGGCATGACTGAGTCTCCTCAACTATTCTCAGGACACTTCTTTGATCTCACCCAATGCCTTCCCAACTTGATTAACTAAGTTCATATTTAATTCAGTATTCTTTGATTCAGATTTGTTCTTACAACATACATCCTTACACCATCCTTGTAAAAGAATATAGTTCGAATGTTTAAAAAAGAAAACCAAAGTTATTCCACCTTCATAATCACCCACAATTACCGGGATTGTTAACCTAGAAGAACGGGCAGTAAGAGTTCAGCCATCCCCAGGGAATTCCCATACAGCTTGGCAATGTTCTTCTGATAGCCTTTTCTCTTTTGGGCAGCAAAGGGGCAGGTAGGCAGCCCAAGCTGTTTCTCTTAATGTTAGA